CTCTGTGTCTCTGAGCTGTGAGGAGGACGGCAGCTCTGCTGGATGGACTGTGAGGAGGAACACCAGCAGAGGAACCAGCACCCAGTGTGGAGCAGACTGGGGGAGACTGACCGGTTCCGTCTGTAGGATCAGTGGTCTCTTTGAAAGTGACAGTGGTGCTTACTGGTGTGAGTCGGGCGGGGGGGCGGCCGGTCCCAGCGCCCCCCTCACTGTCTCTGGTAAGATCAGACTGTGGAGTTAGTGCTGATGGAGCTGTGTGGAAATGGATGAAGTGCTGTAGTCTGTCTCTGTGTTGAGGTGGACCAGTGATCCTGCAGAGTCCTGTCCTCCCTGTGATGGAGGGGGGGGACCTCACTCTGAGCTGTACAGCACGGGTCCCCCCCTCCAGCCCCACAGCAGCTTTATTCTATAAAGATGGCTACCTCATCAGGACGGAGCCTACAGGTCACATGACCCTCCAACCTGTTATCAGGTCTGATGAAGGCCTCTACAGCTGCTCCATCGGGGGGGACAGGTCCCCCTCCAGCCGGGTCCGGGTCACAGGTGAGCAGCACCTCTCAGTTCAGCTCCAATTTCTCCCACAGTCACCTGACCAGGTGGGTTCTCTCTGCAGAGAAACCTACAACCAGGGCCGCGCCCACATCTGTAGCTCCGCCCACATCTGTAGCTCCGCCCACCTCTGAAGCCCCGCCCACCTCTGAAGCCTCCTCCCCCGCCCACTTTGGGCTCATGCTGCTCCTCCGCCTGCTGGTGTTCTGCCCCTACTTCATCTCCACCCTCCTGCTGGTGTCTGTGTACCGACTCAGAGCCAAAGGAAGTAAACAGCCCGTCTCCGTGGCGACGGCCCCGCCCCTCCAGGCTGAGCCGGGATTGGACGATGACTACGATGACGTCACCACAGAGCATCACTTCTGAGGCTGAAATGTGTCTGTGTGCAGCCGGTCAGAAGGCGTCTGCCCCCTGGTGGTGGAGACAGGAAACCACAGGTGTTCATGCAGGACTTTCTTCCTGTTTCTGGACACTTAAAGTAAATAAAAATGGCCTCATTGACCCGAATAAAAAGGGCTGAAACCTGTTTTTCATTGATTTTCTTTCATTTTCCTTAAATAAAAAGTTTCAGTTTTTATTTGTTATAAAACTCTGTAACACACATACATTACCAGGACTAAAGGAACTGACACGGCCGATGAGGACGTTCTGTAATATGGGGACGTCTGAATGTAACCAATGTTTTTCCATTACACTCTGTAGTGCGGTTCCTATTTTACTGCTGGTTATCACACTGCATACGGATGAGGGGGCAGGGCCATTATTAGAGCCTCAGTATTAGTATTATGATTTTGTTTCAAATTCAAACTGTCCTCGTATACTAGATAACCTTTAGTAACTAAGAGAGCTTTTTAAAACTACATTGTAAAATAGACTTTGTTCACATTTCCTTATTATTTCATTGCGTTTATCTTTAAATAACTTAGCATGTCACTCGACCTGTGAAAAGCAGAAATACCACACAGATTCACACAGGAAGGAGGCGGGCTGCATCTGGGGCAAAAAGCTCAGAGTGGTTAACAGACAGACACACGCAAAGATGGAGGCATGTGCTCAGTACCTGCTCCGTAAGTAGAGACGCTTTTTTCTGTTTTCACTGTTTCTGCTCTGTGGACGACTTCTGATGGGGGGGCACACTGAAACGGGTCAGGCTGACATCAGGTATAAAATGCAGCATGATGAGCTGCTTCAGGAGGAGCTTTAGGGGCATTAACCAGGAAGCCGGCTCAGAGAAAGGCAACAAACAGCCAGAGCAACAGGCTGAAAGGCTCCAGATGTGCAGCAGCCTGCTCAGAAGACACAGTGAGAGCCCTTTGCTTTGGTCCAGACTAAAGCAGAAGCCGTCTGCAGACAGCTAGTCCTGTCTGTCCGGACTCAGACGCTCCCATATGTCTGCTTCCTGACTGGTACAGAGTGAAGGAAGGCTCTGCTTTGGGACTTTCCATCAGGGCTCTCAGAGCAGATCTTTGGGTTCCTGCTCTGTTCTTCTGAGCTCTGCTTTCCTCAGCTTGTTGCTTTATGCTGTTGAGTTCTCCAGTCCAGCTCAAACCCACCTGAGTGTGTTTCCTCTCCAGTTGTGACCTCACTGCTGAGCGGCTCCACACACCAAGGTTGGTCCCCTTTTCCCAGCATGAGGAGCTTTAGCTGGACAGATGTTATCCAGCAGCACCAGAAGAAGGAACAGCTGGCTGAAACTGACTCCTGTTTCCTCCCTCTCAGCGGCTCTGACTGTGAGTCCCAGCAGCTCTCAGTTCTTCAGAGGAGCCTCTGTGTCTCTGAGCTGTGAGGAGGACGGCAGCTCTGCTGGATGGACTGTGAGGAGGAACACCAGCAGAGGAACCAG